TGGTCTGACCAGGTGATGTGGCCAATGGAGGTGTGTTTGACCCTCGTTGTAATGTTCGGGGAGATGAAGAAGTAATCGATGCGGGAGTAAGTGTTGTGGCGGTGGGAGTAGAAAGTATAGTCTCTAGTTGAGGGGTGTTGGGCTCTCCAGATGTCCAGGAGGTTATGTGTATGTAGGAAGTGGGAGAAGGGAGCGTCATTGTGTGATGGTCGTGGGTCGCTCTGGGTTTTGGTGGTCCGATCTATAGACGGGTGATGAGTGGCGTTGCAATCGCCTCCTACGATGGTGAATGTTGCTTTAAGTGATGTTAAATGGGCTGAGAGTGTTTGCCAGAATGTGGAGTCTGGGGTCGTGGGAGCGTATAAGGAGGTGATGGAGTAGGTTGAGGAGCCTATTTTACCCTTGAGCGTGAGGTATCTACCATGGTCATCTGGGAAAGCTTGGATTTCGGTCAGAGGGCAAGAGGTTTTGAGAATGATAGCCACCCCTTTGGATTTGGCGTCCGGGGAGTTGGCGAGAAAGCTGCGATTGTAATGTTTGTTTTTGAGTGGGAAGTGTTTGTGAGGGGTGAAGTGAGTTTCTTGAATTAGGAGAATGTCTGCTTTCTGACTGTGGGCCCAACGTAGCAGGGCATGACGTTTTTTGGGGTTGTTAAGGCCCTTTGCATTGATGGAGATACAGTGTAAGTTGAGTGGCATGGTCTGGGATGACCTGGTCAGGTGTTGTGTTGAGTCTGGGGGGAGTAGGACGGTTCAGGAGGGAGATATTTGAGGTTCGAGAGGTCCCAAGAGGGCAGCAGGGAGGTTTTTGACAAGAGGGGTAGGGTATGTAGGGGAAATTTAGAAGTGCTGGACTTACTTTAACTGCCAGCAAGGGTAGATTGTGGTGCCGGGGGTCTCTCCGGTTGGTATGTTCGGAGACCGTCGGTACGAATCAGGTCACGTGGGGGGAAAGGGTCGTCTGTCTAGGAGTAGGCGGCAAACGCTTTGTGATTTCGTGCGGGCCTTCTTAACTTAGTATAGAACCTGGGAGAGTGAAACCAGGGGAGGCAATGTTAGAAACTATGTACACTAGTGTTGGTGTGCAGCCGCGTCTCGGTGCTGCATTAAGTCATATGCGGTGATTGGCCTTTGGGTCTGTCAACTAAGGTGGTGTGGTCTAGTGTGAAGGGTATGTGTCTCTAGACCCATTCTCTTTGTAATTATAAGGGGCTATTTCGCTTCTTGAGGATGTCTGGGATCTATGTATGAGTTAGGGTATACCAAACTTGTGTGGCTCGAGGCCGTCGCGGCCCGCCGCCTCCCCCGTCCCAAAGGAGGGGGGAGGGGGACGGCCGCCAGGGCCCAGGCCGTGTGCTACCCAATGCCCGTCCGAACCCACCCCCGGGTTACCCAAGTGTCGGGTTATGGTTGTCCGTATCATCTTCGGAGGGCATGTGCCAAGTGGAGCTGTAATCCACCCACCTCGGGGCCGTCGCGGCCCACCGCCCCCCCGCCCCGAGAGGGAGGGGGGGGGGGGGGCCGCCAGAGCCCCACTATGTCCCACTATGCCCGTCCCCTCGTGCTGGCCCATCGGTATAGGCCGCATTGTGCGTAGCCTTCGTGGCACATTTCTTCTCCCAATCTGAGGCCGTCGTGGTCCGCCGTCCCCCCCCCCTGAGAGGGAGGGGGGGAGGGAAGACCACCAGGGCCCCAGGTCCATCCCGTCCCCCTCCCCGTCCCCACTTAAAGCAGTAGAAGAGAAAGAAAGCAAAAAAACTTTTTCCCCTTTGTGTTCTTACGTTAGTCCCAAAGTCTTTAGAGTTCTTGAGGTCCGATCTCTGCTGGCTGGGTTCTGGGGTGTGAGCCGGAGTGTTCCACAGCTGGACAGGGTCTTCTTCATCTGCTGCAGGGGGTGCTGTGCTGCGTTCAGTGGCCCGTAGGATGGCGTAGATGGGGTCATCTAGGGCTATGGGTCTGGGCGGGCGAGGCCGGTGCAGTTCTGTGCTGACGGCGTGGGAAGCCGCGGTGGGCCGTTGTGCTCGTCGAGGGGGGCCCCCCGGGTGCGGGGTATATCTTGGAGGCCAGGGAGCAGGAGTAGTATCTGGGTGTTCTTTGACGGGCTCCGGGATACATAGCAGGTCGTTAGTCACGGTTTGCAGTGTCCATAAACTTTGTAATCCGTGTCAGGGGTTGGTGTGTCGAGCAGGGTCGATGTTAGGGTGCTGTGGATGAGGCCGAGACGCTGCTGTGGTATTGGGCACAGGTTTAAGCTGGAGACTGTCTAGGACGTTGTCTTCTGTCTCGCTCCCGTTGTGGTTGTGGTTCCCATGGTCGGTGTTGGGCAACCGGTTGTTGTGAGGCTGCGTTCAGATCTTGAGCTAGTTCGCGGAGGCCCAGTTGTGTGGCAAATTCTGGGGCTTCCGATGGTCTGTACAGCGTGTAGGTGCGGTTATCATGTCGTACCATGAGTTTAAACGGGTGACCCCATGAGTAGCGAATCCTCCGTGCTTGGAGGGCTTGGGTTAGAGGTTTCAACTCTCTGCGCTTGCGGAGGGTCGTGGGTGCTAGGTCTTGGTATAATTGTACTGTGTGACCTTCTATTTGCAGAGGGGTCTCTCTGGTGGCACGCATGAGCGCTTCCTTGATATGGAAGTAATGGCAGCGGACTATGATGTCCCGTGGTTGTGAGGAGCCCGCTGTGGGCGAACGGAGGGCTCTGTGTGCCCTGTCGAGGAGGAGGTCTGATGAGGGGGCATCAGGCAGCAAGCTGCTGAAGGCTTCAAGAAGCATGGCGTTGAGGGCTTCTGGCGCTGCGGATTCTGGTAGACCCCTTATGCGAATGTTATTACGTCTGGAACGGTTACTAAGGTCTTCTTGTAAGTCCTCCAGGTATGCTATTTGCTCTTGCATGTCTTTGAATTTGGCCTCATGGTTGGAAGTGATGGCGGTAACGTCGGCCATTTTGTTTTCCAGAGTGTGAGTGCGCTTTGTTAAATCAGTCAGGCCTTCTTTAAGTGGGGCTAGATGTTTAGTGAGTTCATCTGCCACTAGAGATTTCATGTCTGTGAGTAGTACTTTTAAATCTTGTCTTGTAAGGGGTGATGGCTCCCTTTTATGGCTTTTATGGCTAGTCAGGCTGGTGTCAGAGTCTGAATCTGAGGCCTGTAAGCTGTGTGCGCATGGCGCCTCTTTATCTGACCTGGTTTTAAAGATCGGAGCCACAGCTGCTCCCGATTTGGATTTTCGTCCGCCGCCCATGTCAGCGTGTTCCGGTGCGTGTCGGGTTTGTGTCGGTCGGTTCGTGGCTGTGTTGCCGCTGGTGTTGCCCGTAATGTGTGCTGGTGAGTGGTTTGCCGCTTCGGAGCTCTCCTAGAACGCGGCCATCTTCTTCGGCAGTCAGGCTCCGCCCCCAATTGCTACCTCTTGAGCAAACAAACCAGGAAGTAACAGGACCGGTTGTCAGATTGACAGCCAAGGAGGTATAACATGGTTAGTTTATAAATCTAACATGCTTTAGGGGTCCAGAGTATCCCTTTAAGAGGTTCTATTGGCACTCATCTCTTTGCATACATCCTAACCATCCATATTTAGGAGGGACTGTCACTTTTTCCCATATTAATATCTTTCTTCCTGTGATCTCACTATTCTTGTTGTGTGTTGTTTCTGAATGTATACCAGAGATCCACAGCAATAATACTCAGTAATGTGTCTTAAAACTACAATACATGAGTTTAACAAAAAAAATTTCACAGAACAGCCCCATGACCCGTCCCTACCCTCATTTACAATCACACCTCTTAAACTTAAAGGAACACTATAGGGTCAGGAACACAAACATGTATTCCTGACCCTATAGTGTTAAAACTGCCATCTGCCCCCCTAAATATAGTAAACTCTTACCTTTATTGTAGTCTGGTGCTGCTGGTTCTGCCCCTGATTTGCCTGCTTGGCTGATATCAGGCCCGGACTGGCCATTGGGCACACCGGACAAATGTCCAGTAGTCCGCGATGTCCATGGGCTGAGACCGGCAGGGGAGATCACACAATGTATCAGAGCGCCGGTCCCGCTGTTTTCCATGACGGGCCAGTGGGGAGATCAAGCCCTCACTGACCCACATGAAGTGTGATGCGGCCGCCTGCTGGGGAGGGAGACAGCAGAGGAACCCACCAGGTTCCTCTCGCAAGATCCGGAGCGTTGCCAAAGGCTAGAGTTCACTCACCACTAGGATCACCAGGGATGGCAGCACGGTCCTCTCTCCCAGGCTAAAGGTAACAAGGGAGGGGGGATACAATCAATGCTTGCTCATTTAAAAATAAAAAGGAAATGAATATATATTGATAATCTGCCCCCCAACACACAAGCCCTCCAAACATATTCACACACCAGCACCCTCACTCACACACAGCACCCTCACTCCTATACACTGCACCCCTGACACTCACAGAACCCTCACACACACACACTTCACCTCTGACACTCCCAGCACCCTCTAAAACACAGCTTCCTCACACAAACACTGCATCCATCACTCACACACACAGCACACACATACTGCACCCTTACCCACACAGCACCCTCACTACACCCATCACACACACACACACAGCATCTTCATACACACACACTGCACAATACTCTTTCCTGGCATTTTTGTCTCCTGGCATCCCATCTATGGAGACACCAGAGACAAATTTAAAGCAAACACAGTGCAAGCATGTAATTAAATTTGCTTGCGCTGTGCAATAAATAAGTGTCCCTGGCCGCCCACGCCTGGCTTTTACTTGAGGTATGACTAAGGCAGAGATTAGACTTCCTTCTAGCCATACCAACTCATATGAGCAATAGATACTGCTGAAAGTGGTCGACTGACGATCCCAGATATCCATTGCTGATCAGGCTAATGCTTCCTCATTAGTTCAAGCAGTATAGAGAGGATGGGATGCTGGAGACTCTTGTTTAATATTAAAACTAAAAGGATGTTGCTAGAGGCCTCCAGATACAATAAACCAATGGGCTGAAGCAGTTACATTGCCTATATCAGCATTTCCCAATTGGTGTTCCGCGGAACCAAATTGGGGTTTGGCAGTGATTTGCCTATCGGGTGGCCCAACCACTTAGGGTCACCCGATGGGTATCGCTAAACAGGAGACCAGTCAGGCGCTTTGGATATTTAAGACTGCGACTGGTCCCCTGTAATATAGGATGCTGGGAGGAAGTGACAACCTGTCATCCTCCCAGACATAGCGCACACCTACTGGAGGGAGAGAGGGAGGAGCGGAGACTGAGCAGCTGCCGACCTGGTACACCAGCCTCAACCAGCAGCCTCCTGTTCATTTAAGTAGGAAAAAAAAGTAAATAACGGGGGAGGGGGCCTGACCACCAAGATGGCCAGGGCTACTAACTAGCTACACTGGTTCATGAAAACGCTGAAAACGCAACAGAGCGCCTTTCACACTTAATTCCTACCAGAGCAGCTCTTGCCAGCTCTGGAAAACGCCGCTCTGGCACTTATTCTGTCCGTCTGGACCTGCGGCCTATTGGCACTGCCAACTTGCTAGTTGAGGGAGATGGCCGATCTCTCGACTACGGTCACGTGGCTCCAGGCAGCTTCATCTGCACCCCGTTACCCCAGGACTTCCATCCGAGTCTATCCCTGTTCATAAGACCTCAGGTCTACCTGTTTGAGCAGCGAGGGTTGAAGGAGAGGGGAGAACTGACCTGACCCGATCTGGCCTACAAGTGGTATAGGTTACATAGCTGACATAGCTGAAAAGAGACTTGCGTCCATCAAGTTCAGTCTTCCTCACATATTTTTTTGCTGTTGATCCACAAGAAGGCAAAAAAAACAGTCTGAAGCGCTTCCAATTTTGCAACAAACTAGGAAAAAATTCCTTCTTGACCCCAAAATAGCAGTCAGATGTCTCCTTGGATTAAGCAGCTATTGCCCCACTAATTAGAAATTATATCCCTGTATGTTACGTTTTAGCAAGTATTTATCCAATTGCAGTTTAAACATCTATATAGACTCTGACAAAACCACCTCTTCAGGCAAAGAATTCCATATCCTTATTGCTCTTACTGTAAAAAAAAACGTTTTCCTTTCTTCCAGCCTAAATGTGTGACCTCGTGTCCTATGTATAGCTCTGTTTATGAATAGATTTCCAGACAATGGTTTTGTTACGGTTGCCTCCGGTCTTGCGGGAGGTTGGACCGCTTGGATGTCCTGGTTCCCGAACTTGGAGAGTCGAACGCTGCTTCAATAGGCAAAAATCTGTAAGTGTAGAACATCCCACAAGCTATAGCAGAGCTAGGATTCATGGTACCCTACAACCGAGGCTGCTAGTTGAGGGTAAAACGAACTGGGTTTAATGGCACACAGGCAGGGGTGGACTGACAGCCTCCTGGGCCCCCGGACAAAATTAGATCCAGGGCCCTTCAAGACAAAATATTAAAGGAGCACTATAGTGCCCCCCTCCCGCTGGGCTGAAGGGGTTAAAACCCCTTCAACCACTTACCTTTCTCCTGCGCCGGGCTCCCTCGGCTCTGGGGAATTCTCGCATTCTCGAATTCAGCGCACGCATTCACAGTATGAATCGCGGAAGCACCTCTAGCAGCTGTCAGTGAGACAGCCACAGAAGCTGGATTAACCCTTAGTGAAACATAGCAGTTTCTCTGAAACTGCTATGTTTTCAGCTGCAGGGTTAAAACTAGAGGGACCTGGCACCCGGACCACTTAATTGAGCTGAAGTGGTCTGGGTGCCTATAGTGGTCCTTTAAGGACTAAGTAAATGTTAAAAATAATTTTAAAGTAAGTAGTCAAACAGTTTGAGAACACAGGCTGTAGTAGGGCATAGGAGCAGTGGTGTGTGTGAGTGGTGCAGTGTGTGTGTGAAAGGTTCAGTGTGTGTGTGGGGGGGTGTAGTGAGTGAATGTGTAGGTTGTGTGGAGCAATGTGTGTG